TGACTGAGAATGAAAGGATGAAAAGGATGATTCCTCATGGTCTGTTCCAGCATAAAATCTTGGGATCATTAAAAGCAAGGTTTAAAAAAATCAGAAAAGTGTGTTGGTTCATGCAACAGGCAGTTGACATGGGGAGGTCCTGCCAAAGAATGTTGAAGTTGCAGTAACTTGCAGAATTGGACAGGGCTAAGAATAATGCTCCATCCCTGGCAGTGTTCAAGGCCAGGCTGGACAGAGCCTTGAGTGACATGGCTTAGCGTTAGGTGTCCCTGCCTATGGCAGGGGTGATGGAACTAGATGATCCCAAGGTCCTTTCCAGCCCTAACTATTCTATGATTCTATGATTCAGACAGCCTGCATAGGGTTTATGATATCCCCTAAGGTGGAAATAAGAGTCGGGAAAATGTTCAGAGGGATTGTTCAATATGTTTGTCCTATTTCTTCTGTTGCCTTAATGTCCACTTCTGATCTCTACTAAAGATGGAATGCTGGCTAGACAGACCATTGGTCTGAACTAGTTTGGTTTTTCATACGTTATGTTCCAAGAACCATTTTAAGAACAGTTAGGTGTCGCACTTAGTAAGCATTATGGTCTCCTCATGGTAACAAACTGGAAATGTTAGAAACAGTTGATTCACAAATAACTAATGCTTTCAAACATGCTCCTCAGAAGAATAATTGTAAGTTTATGTGGTCTGTGTGACTGCAATGAGCCCAAATAGTCATTAAAAATAATTACAGATATTATGAGTAAAAAAAAAATCAAATGCAATTGAATTGCAAAAAAATAATCAAATGTAGAATTTCTTACAATTTGGACTAAATGTTAATTGTTCTTTTTCAGAGGATATAGATGTTTCTCTGTTAGAGAAGCAAGCCTGTTTGCTGCTGTGTCCTTTGGACTAGCCAAAGGACAAAGGTCTAAAGTTTTTGTACATTTGCTGGAGCCCTGTCTTTCCTTGAGAGGTGCAATATTTGCATCATTTACAGCATCTCAAGGACCTGTGCTCTGTTCAAGACTGTATCACTTGATCTGATTAGTGTCATTGCTGGCCTCTGTATGTTGGAGCTGTTACCTGTCTTTGTTCAGTTGTATTGTTCCTAAGGAGAAATTAATTTCAACAGCAAAACTGTTGAAATCTTGTCATGGAGTAATCTCTGAGGATGATTTGCATATTTATATTGCTCCTGAGATGATCTTGCTCTGTCAAGAAACACTTACTGTTACTTCTGCTTTATTCGTAGCTGGAATATATCTTAGTGCCCTTTGTTTGTTTTCCTGTATAGTTTGAAACTAAAAAATAATGAGGGTCTTTTTTATTCCTGAAAGAACAGAACCCTTAAAGAGAATCAACAGCTTAAGGGTTTTTTTGCAACAGGACTCCTTTGAGTCATTTAATTTGTCAGCATTCTCCCAGTGATTGCTTGAGACTTGGGGGATCGTTGTAGAGGAATACTTCAGTCCTTTTTGAGATAATAGCTGTCCTTTGATTGTCAGTGGCAGCTCATCTTTGCAGTGGATTTTGGTGGTGTTTGAAGGAAGAAAATGAGTTACTTGGTTTTGAAGTTATGGTGGCAGAGGCTGTTAGTTTCAGTTAGGATAAGGTAATGCTATTGTCCAAGGATGAGTCCCTGCCCTCCAGCCGCAAATGTGCCGGCTTCTTTCCTGGTGGGAGCACAGCTATTTATGCCATTGCTCTAGGAGTTGGATGGGTAGTAGAGAGCTGAGCTGGTTAGTTAAAACTAACCCAGCAAAAAACAATTATCAGGTGAATTCGTTGTAAATAACTTCATGGCACGTAAAAGAGATCATGGTGTCAGGTCACAAAGGAAGGGTGATCTGAGGCAGAAATGAATGCTCAAGAACAGGGGAATGGGAGGGCTCTTTTCTTGTGGCAGCTTTGAATTAACCTGATTTGAAATAAATTGTGAAACTGTGCTGTGAAGTTTGGAACGCACTGTATTTGCCCTTATACCTTGAGCCCTCTACTTTTAAGATGTAAGGGTTTTATTCTAGATGATCTTAAGGTCCTTTTCAACCCTAACTATGATGATTCCCTGCTATAGGATTCTGTGATTTTATGATTTTCAAAAGAAGTTGAATGGAGTTGCTTACAGCATCAATTCAAATTGGTTAGCTCCATATACAGGAAAACTTTGCAACAAAGATACGGTACAACCCTTGTAATGTCTACTTAGAGAACATGGGAGAATAACAAACATGACTTGTGTAAAGAAGGTGACAAAAAAGTGAAATTGTCTTTTTTTTTATAGTATTTTTGGCCTAGAGTGTTCCTGTTACCAGACTTGTCTTTTAATTGAATTGCAAACTGCTGTGTGGCTTGTGAAGTGTTTTGTAGGGTATTTAGGGAAACGTTAATTCTTGCAAACATTTCCAAAGACAAATACTGCTTTTGACTAGTTTTTACTCTAATGCGTATTCAGCAGCCAGGGTCAATATGCCTTCATTATAAATTTTGCATCGTAACCAGTAACTCTCTTCTGAACTTATTATATGCTTACTCTAATCTTTCTGGAAACTCCAATTCTCATCGTTTAAGCCCATATGCTTTGCTTTTCTCCATTGCTCTAGAGAGCAGAGAGATGCAGAAAATCAGATTAACTCTGAGGTCAAAAAATGAATACTGTGAGTTGAAGAGCTCTTTTCACCTGGGCTTCTTGCAGCATTAGGTTGCAATTTTGGGAATTTCACTGTGTTTTGCTGAGTGTGAACAGACCTTGCCTGCAGGCTCTGTGAAGTGAACCTGAATTCAGGCGGACACAGATGAATGTAAACTTCAGTAGAAGCAGAGGGGAAGCTGTAGACTTTTTATGGGATATCAGTAAAAGAGGGGAAAAAAAATCCACTAAAACTCACAAAACCCATAAAATGAAGAGGTGTTGCTTTCCCTTTTGAAATCCACAAGAAAATTCCCTAGCTCCTTAGTGAAGTAGAAAGAAATTTAACAACAAAAAATACTTAGGCGAGCTATGCAGAAACATTTGGCAATTTTACAGAAGTTTCTTAATTTTTAATCTGAATAGTGTGAAGTATGACCCTTGTCCTCTTTTGTTGTTTTATTATTTTATTTATATGCTTTTCAAAGCTTAGTAAAATGGAATATGTATGTGTAAGTATGCCTTACACCAAAGTGCTCATAAATTACACATTTGCAGATGACAGTTCCTGCAGGTAAAGTGGTTCATCCAGATACAGTGCCAAAGTGAGACGTGAGCAGCAATTGGATTTTCTGATTTCTGGAACATACAATTACTCTTGTATATAAAAGGAAGCTGCATGTATGCCAATAATGTATTAAGAGATGGAATGAATTTACTGTCATAATTGCCCCAGGAAGGTCTCCATTTTACAGAGGGTAATAAATTCATTTAGCATTTGCACTAGCATACTACATCATTTTGAAGATGTAGAGTAGCGGAGGCATGCTGTTGATGAAAGTTCTGGTTAGTGTTTTCAGTCTATAGACTTTAAGGGATGATTCTTAATTTTTTTCCTACAGAAGTAACAAATGTGAGTCTTGAGAGACTTAAGGGAGTTCTCTTGGGCCACACTCGCCACAAATTAGGATCCCCTGTGCTTTTTTTTTCTGGCTAGCTGGAACAAAGGTGAAGAGAGGAGGAAAATGAAATTAGGTATAGCCCCTTCGCTTCTGCTTGACAACTGGCACCTCACAGCTGCTCAGTGCTGTGTAATGCCTTCTCCTTCCAGCTTGCTAGTTGTTTGTGCTAGATGCAAGGAGCTAGAGAGATGCTGTACTGTTCTACGTCTTTCAGAGGTACATGCTTTTTTGCTAGTGAAATATTTTATGTATCAACTTGCAGAATGACATCAAACCAAGCCATCCCTGATGGTTCGTGATGAATTTTTTTGTTGCTCACTTAGTGCATCTGTAATGAGTAATGGTCTTAACAGTGTAAAATTTTCTTACAAAGCTGCATGACTACAGCAGCAAAAGACATGGCAGAACTTGAATTTAAATTTGACTAGAATCCAGCTAAGGGTAAAAAAAAATAATGCTTGTCAGAAATGAAATGTGAAAACTGTAAATTAGTCAATTTTGGATGTTTTCTTATGAATGAGAAACAGTTTTGCAGTTATACCCTAACAGAGTTAAATTCACAGCAGTTTTCTCTGGCTGTTGGTCTTTTTTTTTTGGGTTGCTGTCTTCCTTTTGGTTACAATAATGAGACTGTCTTCCCTTCTTTTATAGTCTCTGGGGGAAAATCTAAAATAACCGATTAAAAGTAAGTCTTTCCTGTGATTGTAGATACATATTTTAATTTCAGGTGAAGCTGATGCTTCATTTACCTGCCTCAAGCCAGAGGCCTGTTTCACCTCGTGTATGCTGATGTGTATTTTTGGGGCATTCTCACAGAAGTTGTTAAGACCCTGTTAATTTAACTGCAGTAGAGAAAACACCTTTATGGGAAATACAAGGAGATACTTAAGGACAGGTTTATATATTTTAAGGATACAACATAAAAGGATATGTTTATATATTTCTGACAACTGAGATGTATTTGTGCCACAGTTCCTGGTTTTTTGATAGGGAAAAGATTTACTCAAAAATGTAGATTTAATTCTTCTTTCTAACAAGTTGTTCTGGATATGCTTGGTTTTTTTTCTCTTTTTGGTTTTGTTTTGAAAGGACCTGACAAGTCGCATTAAAATGTTGAAAACTTGGTGTCAACAATGACGAGTTTCAGAAGTTGAGATACCTTCTTTATAGTGCAAAGGGATTTCTGTGGGACAGGTCTAAGATCTAAGAGACCAACAAGACAATGGAAGTTGGCTTGACAAAAGCATAAGGGTTTAGTGAGAACAAATGTGTCTTTAGTGCAGCAGAAGTTATGTTTTCAGCTGTGTTATTTGTGGCATTAATGGCTTTGCAGTTTTCAAAAACAGCTTGTGTGTATCTTTATAGTTCCTAGGATCTTATTGCCCATAAAATTTAACAGAGTTTCTTTAATTGTTTTAGAGGTGTGTTTGATGCTTCTCTCAAAATGGCTGGGTTCTATGGACTCTACACTTGGCTGACTCACACTATATTTGGGATTAACATAGTCTTCATACCATCTGGTAAGAATTTGAACAATTACAATTATTTTTAGATAATATGATTACATACATATTGTACAAGATAAGTGTGATTAAATACTGCTGATAAGATTAGTCTTGAAGTTATTTTTAGGAGTGGCCGTGTGCAGAGTGAAGTCACTGATTGCTATCCTACCCCTGTGCCTTGCCTTTTTCTGTTTTCACAGCACGTCCCCTACCAGCTATTTTACTTCTCCTGTCTGTTCCTTTTGTAGGATATAATTCTCCCTTCTGTTCAGTCCAAGTCTTTCCAGGTTTTAACTTCATTCTGCGTGCCTTGTTTTTTGTTTCTTCTGTAGTTGACAGGTGCTGATTTTTCAAGATGCCTAAATTCAGGAAGACATGGTATCATGAAAATGCATGATGGAGGCGTGATGCTTGTTCTCAGTATTGTTGCCTGACTATATTACCAGCCTCTGGTTTTCCTTTGTTCTTTAATCTTAGGTTTAGAAGTGGCTGAACAGTTTTCACTGGAAAATCTTCTCCTCTGTTCCTCTTTTGCTTCTCTTCCACTAAAAATAATCTAATAATAGTAAATTTGAAATGCTGAAATTTCATGTACAAGGGAACAAGAAGGAAAGTCATAAAGCAACAAAACCCAGGATAATAAGAAATGGCTCTGTTAGAAAGTGCAACTACTTAAAGGCACTGGTTGTTGTTACACCTACTTAGAAGGCAGCTGTTCTTTTTCTTTCAGCTACATATGAATCTTAAAAGTTTTTGCTTTCTGGTTAATGAAACCAAAAATGAGAAAAAAAACCTCTTAATTATTCATGTTGTGTTCATTCCTGTTGCATTAAATTAGAATGGCAGCAGTACAGCATCACTTTAGATTTCAACAGGTATTTGTATAATTTGTATGTTTAGAAGGGCATACTCCTGTGTGTACATGTGTATACAGAAATACGTGTCATGGATTTTAGATTTGTGTGGTTTTTCCCAGTCCTAGCTGCATTGTTATGGTTTAATGCAGGGGATGTGGTAAGTATAAAGAGACTTCTGCTTGTATGTTTTCTTGCACACAGTTGATAATTTGTAACTGTATAAAAGTTTGAAATATGTATGACTGGTATAGCTGTCATTTTTTCTGAATTGGTGCCTCTTTTGGAAGTAACTCCTTATGACTGGCAGTTGGTGAAGCTTTTTGGTATGGGGAATAGCATAATTTTCTTTTTTTTCCTTAAACAACAGCTATAAAATACCAAGAGATTTATGTAGCACTTCTTCAGTATCTTATTTACAACAGTTGATAGAAGTGGGACTACTGGTGTGGCAGAAGCATCAGAATTTAACTGTAAATGTATTTGTGAAATACATTTCTCTGTTTTTTTCTCACCTTTGCTTCTGTGTGCTCTAGCATTAGCAGCAATCCTTGGAGCAGTGCCGTTTCTGGGGACATACTGGGCAGCCATCCCTGCAGTCCTAGATTTGTGGCTTGTGCAAGGACAGGGGTGCAAAGCCATTTTGCTCTTGGTTTTTCACCTCTTGCCAACCTACTTTGTAGACACAGCAATTTATTCAGATATATCAGGGTAAGTACATTGGAGGCTTTTTAAAGTTAGCGTTGTAAAAATGATTAATGGTGATTGACACTTTAATTTCTGAAGCATGCAGACGGTGTCTCCAAGCATAGGAATCACCTTATAGTAAGAAGTCCTTCTTCCTAAGTGCCTTTACTTTGCCAGGCCTCTTTTCTGTGGACTTTGTCACTTGAAGTTGTGAACTTGTTCTCAAAGTCAGCAAAATCAACTGCTTTGGTTGGCAAAGTAATTCTAAGAATGCCTTCGAAATTAGTCATTGACTAAAGGTGTGCAGTATTTCCTTTACCTCACCTATAGCCAGGTGATGCTGCAGAACAAACAAGAAATCCATGAGCTAGTTAGGGACCTGAGAAAAAACACTTCAGTTTTTCAGACTGGATTGTGAGAAATGTGAGGATTTGTTTGAAACCAGCCTTTGTGTTGTGTCACCGCACCCCAGTGTAAGAGGCTATTGATTATGGATTGATATTTAAATGTGTTGAGACAGATAAAATTGCAAAACCAGAGACAGGCTTCTGCAGAGCCAGAAGCCAGTGCTGTTTTCCTGTTGTGGGATGTAGGCACAGATTGCTTGAAAAAATCTTGCTAGGTGTTTGACTGCCTCTATTGGCATTAAATGTCTCCTAGTTTCAGCTTTGAGATTGTACACAGAAAAACGAACTCCAGACTGTGCAAAGCAAGACATGTTCACAGCCATGTACAGAACAGATGGAAAGTTGTACTCCTCTAGTTTACTGTCTTGATCATCAGAAACAATTCTGGTAAACTGAATTGAGGATTTCGTGGTCCAGACTTAGTTATATGCCAGTACTAGTCCTTCATTTGTGATGATTTTTATTACAGTAGAGTTAATGTAGAATAAGGACACTAAGTGCTTCAGTTCTGTGTTGTTTGAAACTAATATTTTTGTTCACAAGATATGATTACAGTGAACAGATAGACCTAATGATATGTACAATATTAATACTAATTTTCATTGACTGTGACACTAGTTCTTTTGCATGAATTAAAGCTAATGGGTGAAGTATAATCAAATTAGGACTTTTTTCCAACAATAAATTGTAGGTACATTTAAGGCTAGTAGCTATTTAACCAGACAATAATTCTTCTTATTATTAGAATACATTTTTTGACTGTAGGGGATGCAGGCTCTGTTTACTGTCCAGAAAATACATGTGGCAGGAATAGATTTTCTGACAGTGGAGCAAAATTGTATTTTTCTCATTAAATAGAACAGTAAGCATCATGCTGTCTTGTAGATTAGATTAAATATATTTTAAATAGCTATAATTAGGTTATGCAGGGTTTTCCAAATGCATTAAACTTATACTGTAGTCCTATTTCATCGAATGATCTGTTGTTTAATTTAGCAAACTAGCCAGAAGAATGTTTAAACTGATGCAGAGGCTGGATAAAGTTTAGAAATGAATCATGTGTCTACTGCTGAAGAAATCAGTTCCCTCAGAAAAACAATCTGGCATTACCAGTAGGTTAGATTGGATCTAGGTAAGATATGATTGAGGTGTATATGATGTTACAGGTCTCATTCCACACACAATTGCAATGAAGGCAAAGACTGCCAGTGTGGGAGTTGAATAGAAGTCAGGACCATAGTAGAAATCTGGCTGAGACTGCTGTAGGTCTATACTAGCTGGTATTTTCACTCCCTTACGCTCAGAATTTAGAGTAAGTTCCTGAAAATTGGGTGCTAAGTTTCAACTGTACCTTTTCTTATGTAATTCCATATTAGCATAATTATTTTAACTATAAAGATTAAGCATGATAAGCAGGTTTTGTGTAACTGCTCTTGATAGGATTCATGTGACTCACCCGAACTGATAACATGGAAAAGAACAGTGCATGGCTTACTTGCTGCCATAATAGCTTATACCAAAAGCTCCATTGGCCTCAACTTTCCAGTAAATATATTCATAAAAATCTGGGTCTGTTTTTCATCTGAAAACATTAAAAGCCTAATGATAACAAGCACTCAGTCTGAGAGGGTGTTTTATAACAAAATGAGAAGACATGACTGTGTATTTAAATAATGTATGCTGTTCTTTGAAAGGTGCAATGCAAGTTGCTATCATAGTGTAAATTAGTGTGTTTTCTCAGGGCATTCATAGTGCATGTTTCTAGTTGTCTTAAAAATTTAACAATTCTTGACCATAAGGCATGAACAGTCTTTGTAATCATCATCTTTCCATTTTCAAAATGGAAATATTTTTGCCATTAACTCCTTCAGACATTCTTCAGCAGATGTCTATAAAGTAGCTGCTCCATTGTGGATATTTACCAGCATTATGTGCTACAATACACTGTTTGATCTGTTGTGCAAATAGAACACAGACTACAGCTTGGAATATTTGTGCTGTTAGTCAAACAGCAGATAAGTGAAACTATGGTATCTATAGCTAGCTATGTAGTTTTCTAAGCTCAGTAAAACTTTGTGATTAATTCACATTTCATAATTGAGAGTATTGTTTGTTGTTCTTAATTTAATTCTGTTCTTTTTGTGCCATCATTCCAGAGGTGGCCATCCTTACCTGACGGGTCTTGCAGTAGCTGGTGGAGCATACTACCTGGGGCTGGAAGGAGCCATTATAGGACCAATTCTACTTTGTATACTTGTGGTTGCTTCCAACATATATAGTGCCATGTTGGTGAGCCCAACAAATTCAGTGCCCACTCCATCACAATCACCATGGCCATTACAGATTTACCGGTAAGTTATAAATGTGTTACATGTATATGTTACGTTTTTACATAGATCAGCATGTGTACATATAGGTAAAGAGAGTGTATGCCTGAGTTTTGTATAAAAGCGTGCATATACATGTACATGCCTGTTGAAGTATTTGGAGAGGATTCAGCTATCTCATATTCTAGAAATAAAAATTATGGTAAAGTAAAATACTCACTGGAACTTGTAAACTTGAAATGTTTGTTTAATGTCACTCAGCTTCTTATGGAACGCTCTTCCAAAAAGTTCAGGAGATAACAGAACATCCTTTTTTCTGTGTAAAACTGTTCTGAATGGCTATCTAGTAGTCAGTACTCATTGTTATTATTAAGAGGTCTGCCTATAAATACTGCATTTCTGTGTTACTGTACAATACTGTAAAATCTAAATAAGCATACTTGAATTTAACAAATGAGATATTATATTGCATTATTCTATTAAAAGTATGGTCTTGATTAGCCCCTTTATTGAAATTACCAAATGTGGAATACAGATGTATATCTTTAAACTACAGTTAAGGAATGTGCTGAATAAACTCCTAGTTGAATAATTATAGTTGGAATTCATATCATGAAGTTATTAACGACAGTAGCCATTTTAGTGTCTCTACTGTCTTGTTCAATTACATAGGTTAGCTCATTATACATACATCTTAAAGAGGTTTCTGTGCTTGTCAAAAATGATCCTTTGCTTTATTCACATGAATAATGTTGCCATCTCTCATACGGGTAACTTAAGAGGAAGAATACTAATTGGAACTATCTGTAGTCTCTGACTTGTAGAATTTATGTTCCAAGATGGCGTAGATAGAGCTTCCCAAAGTACGTAGAAAAAATTGCGTGTGTATTTGATTCCTGTTTAATTCGTAGGAAACTAGATCAGATCACTGAACAGATTTTTTCTTTTTTCTTTATCCTCCCTCCCCCCCAGCTCATCTAGAGAGAGTCCTGAAGAGATTAAAATGGCTGCAGAGTGATGAAGGTGCTGTGCTGCATCTCATCAGCATGAGTGAATCACTGTCTTCTGTCTGGAGTTCCAACAGTCATGGCCTTCTGTCCCTTTCCAGCTGTGCCTAGGGGCAGCTCACAAGGAAGCACAGCAGCATAGCTTGGGTTTTAACAGAAAGTACTTCTTAAACTTCTTGAGCTGGCCTTACGTTATTGTGCACTTTGCCTTCTCAGGAGAGAATGTCTACTTCCCATGGCTTTGCATACCAACACACAGTTCAGCTGCCTTGTTGAACGCCTTGAAGACTTTTGTCTTCATAAAAAGAATAGTTAAAGAGGACAGGTATATCCACTGGAGTAGTAATCTTGTCTGCAAAAATGACTAACTTGGCTTTTATTTATTGGGCTATTTGTGTTATTAAATTGTAGTAGCTTTAAAGAAAGCTAATTCCAAAGTAATTTATTTTCAGTTAATCTGGTGGCAAAAAAAAGGTGTAAACCACTATTGATAAATGAGAGTATAATTATTTGCTGCTCCTCTCTTTAGAGGCTTTGACCATCATCTGTAACTCATAATAACACTATACGCACTGAAATTTAATGTTGTTAGAGGCTGATATTTCTAATATTTTCCTGAAATGAGTAGACATGCAAATTGTTAAATGTGAGTTTTCCTCATATTGCAATAGGAAGACTTATTTAAATAGTTTGAATCTTTTCCTTATTTGCAGTGAAATCTGTTAGTATTTTGCTGTTTACCCACCATCCCAGTGGAGTCATCGGGTCAACTAAACTTAAAGACCTTAAATGTTTCAGGCAGGGGTAATGTACCTCATCTGTTCATCTGGAAGTCACATCTGCTTCCAATAGTAGGAAGAAGTTGAATGGGGATTGTTGAATGTTGTTTTTGAAGTTCTGTGGCAGAGGTCAAACTTTTCAAATTTATTTCCAAAGAGGAAGGGGAAAGAGCATGAATTTTGGTTTAGTTTAGTTTGAGTTGGTTTTTTTTTCCCCTGTAGGCCCCTGGCCAAATATCATAATAAGATATATCTTATATATTAAGACAAATCTCAATAATAAATGGAGTTCTTAAAGTTCTGAAATGGTGTGTTACCTAGGTCACAGCATCAAACTCCTCTAGTGCTTTTCTTCCATATGTAATTTTGCTTAAATTGCAGTTTCAGTGACATTTAAGGCCTGTTGTATTGATTGTTGAAATACTTTGACACAATGGATCTTTATAAATGTGTGCTTCCTATGAATAGGAAGTAGGGGGGTTGGTAGAAATTTCATACTTGAACAGCTTTTCCACAAATCCAGTGAGGGCCATGGGTACAAAGTAGCAGACACACATGCTTAACCAAAGAACTCCCTTCCAGTTTTAGTAATGTCTCTTCAATTTATGTCAGAGTTTGACTGATAAAGAGTTATACAAGATCCAGGCAAGTCTTGCATTTATTGTTGGTGGTAATGCAACTGTTGGAGCAAAAATCTGTCATCTAGGGATAAGAATGTCTTAAGATTTGTGTACAAACAGCTCTTGGTAATGTGGGTGTTTGTTTTAATTGAGTTGCAGAAGTGCTGATAGATCTGGAAGGCTGTTATTTTAATTACATTACATGTATTTTTCATTGTTTCTGAAAATGCATTGCCATAGAAAGGAATTGGACAGTACTCTGATACTTCCTAAGCAAGGAAGGGCTGCTGTAGGTTTGCAGTAAACAGGCTGCCTATTAAGACACAAATAGCCAACTCCTACAGTTCTCAAAATTAGTTGCTGCAGTTTCGCTGATGAAATTTTATGTTTAAATGAGGGGTTTTGAGTATGATGATTTTACACCTGCAAACTTGCAGGTGTGCGTTTGGATGACAGACTCGGGCTTAATTTAGTGGTTTGACTCAAGTCATTGATATATGGAAACATACCATTTAATATTTTAAATTCTGAAAGACGTACACATCAATTCCAACTAACTGAATAGGAAGGATTTATTGCTTGAACTAAGTAACTGTCTGGTGCTTATTTATTTCCTTGGTTTTGTGGCTTATGTAGAATCTTCAATGAAATGCATTCTTATGATTGCTGCTGGCTAGGATGAAGGATGACAAAGAGCCTGAGGGTGTCCCTAAGTATTTCTGCAACATTCTAGCCAGCTTGAATATGTGATACTTGGGAAACTTCTTTGTTATATTACTTCTTTGTAGTTCACAGTTTTGCACTGAAATGTTGTGTTCTCACTATAGCTTCTTGTAGACAGCATTTAAGGAAGACTACTAGCAAGAAATAGGCATCTTTAATGTATTTCCAGTTTTCCATTGCTCCGCTTTACTCACTGGTCAGGACATTTGTATTGTCCACGTTTGCTATCCTAGTTATATCTGAGACAATCTTTCAGATTGTTATAGTGCTCAATATAGTAAGTTAAGAATGTCATCTTAAAGCATTCTTTTGTTTGTGTTTAAATTTTCTTCTTGCCCCTCCCACTTCACTTGACCTCCTTAAATCAAAGAAGGGTCTCTGCTGCGAAAACTTAAAATGGCATTTCAGACACAGTTAGTTTCAGTAATGGCAAATCAGTAAAATCAGCTGAGAAGATATGTTCTTGTTATGAAATGTGCCTTTCCCAACATAAAGAGAAACCATTTTGTATGGAGAATTTGTATCTGATGTAGTCATGTTCGTTTTCCCTCCTTTGCCGTGAGGCTTCGTATTGACACTTTCTGTTTCAAATTCTTCTAAGTCTTGCCATGAAGAGCCATCCATAGTACAATCTTTCTCAGTAAATGTAGCTTAAGGAGCTCATGCCATGTGCCATGCCTGGTGGAGAAACCAATTGTATAGTTCAGTGGTGGTACATTAACAGTATACTGTCCTAAAGAAGAAACAAAACCACCAATAATACCTTCTTAGAATATGAAATATTCATTGGATTTTGCCATGCTTTAAAAAAAAACCCAAAACAACAAAAAAACCCCAAACCCCACAAAATCCTACCTTATGAAAAAGCATACCTTGATTATTTAAAGGGTTTAAGTCTGTAATTACCAGTAGAAATGGAAGAACTTGTCCTTGCATATTTAACAATCTGTATTCTTTTCTGAAAAGACTTAGCCTCTTTAAGAACAGTTTAGATCAATCGATCAATCTCAGATTAATTTGAAAATAATCAAACTGGTCGTTTTGACTTGCGGTCACTGTAACATGCCAGTTCCTGGTTATATGGCTCCATCTGCAAAAGCAACCAGCAGCTCTGCGGCATAAGCTTTTGGTGGATGGCTTGTGGGTTTAAAAAAAAAAAAGAAAAAAGATGGGAAACTCCTCATACCCCCTTTTCTGCAGTGGCATTAAAGTACAGTTTTCTTAGGAGAGACCATCTTGTCATAATGCTTAAAGGCAAGAAGTTGGTGGCCTTCAGCTTTACTGTAAAGAATCATTCCAGGAGCAGGTATTTACTTGTATTTAGTGTATTTAGTATATTTAGCACTCCGTTTGAACAAAGCTAATTTGAACAAAACCAATTAGAATTCAGAAGGGAATGCCTGTAGTAAACCAAGACAATGTGGTTTTATGGTACTGTGAAATACAACTGTGATGGTTTTTACCATTCTCTTTTATCAAATCAGTCTTCTTGCAAGTAGTGGAGTGCCAAAGGGCAAGTGGTAACTGCTTCTTGTGCTGAGTCAAAGTTCACCCTTCCCCCCCTTCCTGTACTTTAGCTGAATGTTCCTGTGCTATAGCAGAACTAGCAGAAGTGCATGTGTGCCAGTTTACAGCTCAGCATGTTAACTTTGGGTCACTGCAAATACTGGCTTAATTGAATACATGAAGCAACAAACTATAATGGGTGAGAATCTGGCACATGTTATTTTTGCCAGCGTAACTGCAGTATGGTAACTTTCAGCACAGATGCTCCACGACCACTTGGGAGCAGTAATGGCTTATTTTGAAGACTGCTTTTTTTAAAAAAATAAAGTTTAATGTTATGCATACAACACACATTTTTCATAAATTGATACCCACATATGTAATAACAGAGACAACACCCAGATACTTTCATGTACAATGGTATGTATTTGCAGCTCACCTAGGGTACATGTAGGCTTGATGATTTCATGGCCTATGTGGCTTCTCTTGAAAACTTTGGGGAAGAAGGTTATGTATAATTTGTCAGTGATTACGAGATTAGGAAATCCTTAATCTGTTTAATTAAAATAATAATCATGGTGTAGGAAAGTTGGATGCTGTCTCCAGTATTGTACTTTGTGGGTATCAGTGTAACTTCTGAAACAGGGGTATGGCTGCCACGTTAAATGTTTATTTTCAGAAAGCCTAAAAATACAAAAGTGGGTAAAATTGTTCCCCAGTGAAAGCAGCAGCAGAATTGTTGTGCTGCTAACCTCTATACTGGTGACAGAATATTGCAGACTGCTGCCTTCCCTTATGGACCGGATAGATTAAGGATGGGAAAATACCATTATTCTACTGACTTCGTAGCTTTGTATCAGTGGTAGAAGATGATCCCACAACTGCCTTTATTCACACATTGTGTTCATGTTACCGTGCTTAAGTTTGTCATTGCAGAGAGCACCACCTTTGTGGACACTACATCTGAAAACAGCCACAACTTCCTTTAGAAGGTGCTGAAAGGTGTTAGAATTGGCATTAGTATTCATTATGTCCAATAGTGGAGGTAGCATTCTTCTAGAGATACAGTTGTTTGCCTTGAAGTTTTCAGTTTTACAAGAGAAAATTGATTTCCCAGTTGAATAACGTTTATTGAGTGACAGCTGACATCTCATAAATCCATGGATGCATCATTTTTATGAACTGTCTTGGCTTGTATTTCAAAGGGTTTCCCCATACCATTATTTCTTACACTTTTTGTAAAGTGTACTTTGGCAATTCTCATTTCTATTTATACAAAACTAGAATTGACTGTTAACAAACAGTCAGAAGTGATGAGCATATCCAGGGATTCTACATTGGGTTTGTATATGTATATATTGATATACAGCATTACATAAATACGAGCAATCTCTAGCCTATTCGGACAACTGAAATTTTGTCTTTTTTTTTAAGATATCTGAGAACAAAATAGTTCCTGTATATAGTGAAAATAAGCAACATTTTCCTCTAAATGGATACGTGATAAAGGTTGGGGGAAGGCCAAGCAAATACTGGTAGGGTGACTTGAACTGTTTAGTTGTAGTTAATACAAAGTTGGGAAAAGACGTTGTTACATGTAGTAGTACATTGCTAAGTAATTACTCTTCCTGGAAGTATTTGCACACATCTACTAAAGAGCTGCCAAAAATTATGGGTCATGAAATAATGTCTTCATTATTCTTTTAAGCTCTTCTGCACCTTGTCTAGTATTCTGTTTCAAATCTGTTTTAATACAAGTACATGAGAGTATTGCTTCATCTTCTGTTGGGATGGATTCCAGGACCTGAAAAGCATGCTTTGAAAGTCTGTACTGAAATGGTATGTCCAGTTCAGGAAGGAATTGCTAATTGGCAAGTAAATGCATCTTTGATGGACTTGGATAAACATAATTCATGTTGCATTGAATTAGAGATTATTCTTTGAATACAGCACTGATGATACGAAAGCTAGAGTTGGGTTAGAAGCAAAGTGTATCTGCTTGCAGCAGGAAGCATTTGTAAGCTCATAAAGACAGAGTGAGTGTTCTAAAATCCACATATATCAGAAGAATTTTCATCGTGATAGTATGAAGCAAAAATGATAATTTCTTTTCCTAGACTCACTTTTTGTCACTTGACTGTTACATACAATGATCCAATGAGGACCTAAAGTCAGAGTAACTTTTTATGATATTGGGGTAGATCAAATGTAAGAGGAATCACAAAGCCAAAAAGTAGCCACAGAACAAAAGTTTACAAAGCTTAAAAACTTGACATCCAGGCCATAAGGGTAGGGGTTGGGGGGAATCAAAATCCACATTTTGGGCCCCTTTCTGCCAGTCTCTGCTGGAAAACTGAAGCTTTTTCAAGAAGTATCAGTAAAAAATATTTTTGTGTTGTTTGTAACTTCCTTGCTGTGTAGGTCAATGTTTTCAGTTTTTAACATCTGTCATCACTG